ATCAACAGAGAGGTAAGTAGACGCTGATTGAGAACATGTATCAACAGAGAGGTAAGTAGACGCTGATTGAGAACATACGTTAACAGAGAGGTAAGTAGACGCTGATTGAGAATATACATCAACAGAGAGGCAAGTAGACGCTGATTGAGAACATACATCAACAGAGAGGTAAGTAGACGCTGAGAGAGAACATATGTTAACAGAGAGGTAAGTAGACGCTGATTGAGAACATACATCAACAGAGAGGTAAGTAGACGCTGATTGAGAACATACGTTAATGGAGAGGTAAGTAGACGCTGATAGAGAACATATGTTAACAGGGAGGTTAGAAGACGCTGATAGAGAACATATGTTAACAGGGAGGTAAGTACACGCTGATTGAGAACATATGTTAACGGAGAGGTAAGTAGACGCTGATAGAGAACATACGTTAACAGAGAGGTAAGTAGACGCTGATAGAGAACATATGTTAACGGAGAGGTAAGAAGACGCTGATAGAGAACATATGTTAACGGAGAGGTAAGAAGACGCTGATAGAGAACATATGTTAACAGGGAGGTAAGTAGATACTGATTGAGAACATACATCAACAGAGAGGTAAGTAGACGCTGATTGAGAACATACATCAACAGAGAGGTAAGTAGACGCTGATTGAGAACATGTATCAACAGAGAGGTAAGTAGACGCTGATTGAGAACATACGTTAACAGAGAGGTAAGTAGACGCTGATTGAGAATATACATCAACAGAGAGGCAAGTAGACGCTGATTGAGAACATACATCAACAGAGAGGTAAGTAGACGCTGAGAGAGAACATATGTTAACAGAGAGGTAAGTAGACGCTGATTGAGAACATACATCAACAGAGAGGTAAGTAGACGCAGATTGAGAACATACGTTAATGGAGAGGTAAGTAGACGCTGATAGAGAACATATGTTAACAGGGAGGTTAGAAGACGCTGATAGAGAACATATGTTAACAGGGAGGTAAGTACACGCTGATTGAGAACATATGTTAACGGAGAGGTAAGAAGACGCTGATAGAGAACATATGTTAACAGAGAGGTAAGTAGACGCTGATTGAGAACATACATCAACAGAGAGGTAAGTAGACGCTGAGAGAGAACATATGTTAACAGAGAGGTAAGTAGACGCTGATTGAGAACATACATCAACAGAGAGGTAAGTAGACGCTGATTGAGAACATACGTTAATGGAGAGGTAAGTAGACGCTGATAGAGAACATATGTTAACAGGGAGGTTAGAAGACGCTGATAGAGAACATATGTTAACAGGGAGGTAAGTACACGCTGATTGAGAACATATGTTAACGGAGAGGTAAGAAGACGCTGATAGAGAACATATGTTAACAGGGAGGTAAGTAGACGCTGATTGAGAACATACATCAACAGAGAGGTAAGTAGACGCTGATTGAGAACATACATCAACAGAGAGGTAAGTAGACGCTGATAGAGAACATATGTTAATGGAGAGGTAAGTAGACGCTGATTGAGAACATACATCAACAGAGAGATAAGTAGACTCTGATAGAGAACATATGTTAATGGAGAGGTAAGTAGACGCTGATAGAGAACATACGTTAACAGAGAGGTAAGTAGACGCTGATAGAGAACATATGTTAACAGGGAGGTAAGTACACGCTGATTGAGAACATATGTTAACGGAGAGGTAAGAAGACGCTGATAGAGAACATATGTTAACAGGGAGGTAAGTAGACGCTGATTGAGAACATACATCAACAGAGAGGTAAGTAGACGCTGATTGAGAACATACATCAACAGAGATGTAAGTAGACGCTGATAGAGAACATATGTTAATGGAGAGGTAAGTAGACGCTGATTGAGAACATACATCAACAGAGAGATAAGTAGACTCTGATAGAGAACATATGTTAATGGAGAGGTAAGTAGACGCTGATAGAGAACATACGTCAACAGAGAGGTAAGTAGACGCTGATAGAGAACATATGTTAACGGAGAGGTAAGAAGACGCTGATAGAGAACATATGTTAACGGAGAGGTAAGAAGACGCTGATAGAGAACATATGTTAACAGGGAGGTAAGTAGATACTGATTGAGAACATACATCAACAGAGAGGTAAGTAGACGCTGATTGAGAACATACATCAACAGAGAGGTAAGTAGACGCTGATTGAGAACATGTATCAACAGAGAGGTAAGTAGACGCTGATTGAGAACATACGTTAACAGAGAGGTAAGTAGACGCTGATTGAGAATATACATCAACAGAGAGGCAAGTAGACGCTGATTGAGAACATACATCAACAGAGAGGTAAGTAGACGCTGAGAGAGAACATATGTTAACAGAGAGGTAAGTAGACGCTGATTGAGAACATACATCAACAGAGAGGTAAGTAGACGCTGATTGAGAACATACGTTAATGGAGAGGTAAGTAGACGCTGATAGAGAACATATGTTAACAGGGAGGTAAGTAGACGCTGATTGAGAACATACGTTAACAGAGAGGCAAGTAGACGCTGATTGAGAACATACGTTAACAGAGAGGTAAGTAGACGCTGATTGAGAACATACGTTAACGGAAAGTTAAGAAGACGCTGATTGAGAACAAACGTTAACAGAGAGGTAAGTAGACGCTGATTGAGAACATACGTTAACAGAGAGGTAAGTAGACGCTGATTGAGAACATATGTTAACAGAGAGGTAAGTAGACGCTGATTGAGAACATACGTTAACAGAGAGGTAAGTAGACGCTGATTGAGAACATACATCAACATAGAGGTAAGTAGACGCTGATTGAGAACATACGTTAACAGAGAGGTAAGTAGACGCTGATTGAGAACATACATCAACAGAGAGGTAAGTAGACGGTGAGAGAGAACATACGTTAACAGAGAGGTAAGTAGACACTGATTGAGAACATATGTTAACGGAGAGGTAAGTAGACGCTGATAGAGAACATATGTTAATGGAGAGGAAAGTAGACGCTGATTGAGAACATACTTTAACAGAGAGATAATGGACCTTGATTGAGAACATACATCAACAGAGAGGTAAGTAGACGCTGATTGAGAACATACATCAACAGAGAGGTAAGTAGACGCTGATTGAGAACATACGTTAACAGAGAGGTAAGTAGACGCTGATTGAGAATATACATCAACAGAGAGGTAAGTAGACGCTGATTGAGGACATACATCAACAGAGAGGTAAGTAGACGCTGAGAGAGAACATATGTTAACAAAGAGGTAAGTAGACGCTGATTGAGAACATACATCAACAGAGAGGTAAGTAGACGCTGATTGAGAACATACGTTAACAGAGAGGTAAGTAGACGCTGATTGAGAACATACGTTAACGGAAAGGTAAGCAGACGCTGATTGAGAACAAACGTTAACAGAGAGGTAAGTAGACGCTGATTGAGAACATACGTTAACAGAGAGGTAAGTAGACGCTGATTGAGAATATACATCAACAGAGAGGCAAGTAGACGCTGATTGAGAACATACATCAACAGAGAGGTAAGTAGACGCTGAGAGAGAACATATGTTAACAGAGAGGTAAGTAGACGCTGATAGAGAACATATGTTAACAAAGAGGTAAGTAGACGCTGATTGAGAACATACGTTAACAGAGAGGTAAGTAGACGCTGATTGAGAATATACATCAACAGAGAGGCAAGTAGACGCTGATTGAGAACATACATCAACAGAGAGGTAAGTAGACGCTGATTGAGAACATACGTTAACAGAGAGGTAAGTAGACGCTGATAGAGAACATATGTTAACAGGGAGGTAAGTAGACGCTGATTGAGAACATACGTTAACAGAGAGGCAAGTAGACGCTGATTGAGAACATACGTTAACAGAGAGGTAAGTAGACGCTGATTGAGAACATACGTTAACGGAAAGGTAAGAAGACGCTGATTGAGAACAAACGTTAACAGAGAGGTAAGTAGACGCTGATTGAGAACATACATTAACAGAGAGGTAAGTAGACGCTGATTGAGAACATACGTTAAGAGAGAGGTAAGTAGACGCTGATTGAGAACATACGTTAACAGAGAGGTAAGTAGACGCTGATTGAGAACATACATCAACAGAGAGGTAAGTAGACGGTGAGAGAGAACATACGTTAACAGAGAGGTAAGTAGACACTGATTGAGAACATATGTTAACGGAGAGGTAAGTAGACGCTGATAGAGAACATATGTTAATGGAGAGAAAGGTAGACGCTGATTGAGAACATACGTTAACAGAGGGATAATGGACCTTGATTGAGAACATACATCAACAGAGAGGTAAGTAGACGCTGATTGAGAACATACATCAACAGAGAGGTAAGTAGACGCTGATTGAGAACATACGTTAACAGAGAGGTAAGTAGACGCTGATTGAGAATATACATCAACAGTGAGGTAAGTAGACGCTGATTGAGGACATACATCAACCGAGAGGTAAGTAGACGCTGAGAGAGAACATATGTTAACAAAGAGGTAAGTAGACGCTGATTGAGAACATACATCAACAGAGAGGTAAGTAGACGCTGATTGAGAACATACGTTAACAGAGAGGTAAGTAGACGCTGATTGAGAACATACGTTAACGGAAAGGTAAGCAGACGCTGATTGAGAACAAACGTTAACAGAGAGGTAAGTAGACGCTGATTGAGAACATACGTTAACAGAGAGGTAAGTAGACGCTGATTGAGAATATACATTAACAGAGAGGTAAGTAGACACTGACTTAGCATGCCTGAACTGAAATACATTGGGTCATTGTTCCCAATACTCGCTCTCTATATACCAATGACAATTTATTGTAGCATGAAGTGAAAGTGTGCTAGACTTTGCTTGGTATTTTAGCTGAAAGTTAGTCGAGTTTCGATGTAATATACATGGCTAGTTACATTATAACCTTCGGATTTTGATTTTGCCTTCCCCATTACTCAAACATATAGCTCGCTCTAACACATAGCCTGCCTTTTCTTTCATACTTCAGGAAAAGAAATGGAAATGAGAAGAGCTGAAGGACAGGAGTATGATGCTGGTAGGTCGAACAAGTAGACCTGAGGTTTGAGTTTAAATAGAATGATTACTGAAACAACACTACAATTTTCTAGATTTCACATATGAGAGTTTCAAAACAATTACATCAATAAACATGGGTTTTTGTAAACTCATCTGTGGCACTAAATTTATCTCACTCACTCACTCACTCACAAAAAGACTATTGTTGACCTACTAAAGGCAACGTTGTTGCTGTCACAAGAGTAATGATGCCAATATTGAGAAAGAGAGGACTGGATGAGGGGAACCGAACACGGGCCTTTAGGCGAGACAAGCGAACTCTTTAACCATTAGGCTACCTCACTGTCCCTTTGGTCTTGTTGAGTTGCACTTCTACTAAAACTAATACAATTCACCATGTTGTCTTCCTCACAGAGCCCATCTATCAGAACACCAGCGGCAGCAACCAGTTGGCAAAATAACTATTGGAGGTTTTGACCGGGGTGCCTACCTGCGATAAATGTCGCAACTATAGAGTAATTTCAGAATATTGTACATAGTTGTTATTAATAATGTATTATGTGCACATTTTGTAAAACAGTTCTGAATTACATACACTGTGATGTTTGTAATGCCAATCCTCTTATATTCTTGTCATCCTGATCAGCCTGTTATGATACACCTACAATAGCTTGAAGCTCACGCATAAAAATGACACACGCTTGTTTAATGTTTTCGAGAATGTAGTGTAGTTTTATACTTTTATTTCACTTTGAGTGTGAAGATCATTGGCTCATCTTTATTTGTGATGTTGTAACATCCTGATTGATGTATTTCCTGGTTTAAAAATACACATCATATTAACAGAAGTAAAAGAGGGTCCAAATCCTCAATATTTCTGAAAGTGCTATAGTTATTCTCATACATGTACATGCCAAATGTGTTAAGCCCATTTAAGGTGTCCCCCGCCGTGATATCGCTGGAATATTGCTAAAAGCGGCGTAAAACCATACTCACTTACTCACATGCCAAATGTAAGTTCCTAATAGCTTTATGTAGCCTCAGTGTTCCATGTTAATAATTAGAGGCCATTGCTGCAGTGTCTGTTGTGTTATGTCTTCATATCTTCCCACTGTATTACACATTATATATACTCACCGCCAAAAGAAACATGTTGGTCACTAAGATTGGTTTGATCCACAATGACCATACTGGTATGTTCATGTCCATGTTCATGTTGTGTGAACCGATGCTCATGAACATGTCAAGTCATAGATCCATAACGCGAGATACATCAATTGTCTCGTACAGAGTAGGCACGTAAAGTTTGGAAGTTCACGTGCAGCATACTGTTGTAAGAATAAAGACATTGTATGGTTACATTTGACTGATCGTTAGTCTTGTCTTTACTTGGTACACATTGGAAACATATCTTCTCAACTCACATGTGTAGAAGGGTGGGATGTGTGCGGGTCTTCAAACAGAACAACATTAACTGGTAACTTTTGATGGGAAAATAACCTAGCTTTTGTTTAAAATGGGTTTGCTTCAAAAACATAATTTAGGATATTAATATTCAAGACGTGAAGTGACAAAATGTTCCGAATTAGAAGGGTTGGCTGTGTGCGGTTCTCCAAAATTCACAACAATAACTTTTAACTTTTGTTGCGAAAGGACCTTGAATTTTGTATAAAATGGGTTTGCTTCAAGGGTATTATTTAGGATAATAGATTTCAAGATATGAAGTGGATAGTGCCAAACCCCGTTGCAAGCCAAAATGACGTACTTTCAGTCAAGATGCTCCGACTTAGAAGGGTAGGCTGCGTTCTCCAAAAAGCACAACAATAACTGGTAGCTTCTGCTGGGACAGGAACTTGGATTTTGCTTGAAATGATAATTTTTGAAAAAAATAACGGATAGTTTTGGTTCTCAAATATGACCTGGATAGTGTCAATCCCTGTTGCAAGGCAAAAAGGATTGTTTTCAGTGTTCCGAATAAGAAGGGTGGGCTAGCTGTATGCGGTTCTCCAATAAGCACTAAAATAACTTTTAACTTTATTTTAGAAAGTAATTAAGCTTTTCTTTAAAAATGGATTTGCTTCAACAATATTATTTAGGATATTAGTTTACAAGATGTGAGTATAGTGCCAAACCCCGTTGTTAGTCAAAATGGGCTGTTTTCAGTCAAGATATTCCGAGTTAGAAAAGTTAATATATGCCAAAATTAGAAGGGTGGGCTGTGTGCGGTTCCAAAAAAACACAACATAACTGGTAACTTCTGTTTGCCAAATGGAAATTTGCTGAAAAATGTTATATAAAGTTTTGGTTTTCAAGATATGAAGTTGATACTGCCAAACCATGACATCTTGTGAAGCCCAGCGTCAGAAATAGATTTCATAGTTATTTTAAAATAATAAAGACTTAAATTTCATTCTTTAAGAAAATAAACACTCAAATAATTTATATCAAAATCAATACTCGATTTTAATGCAGGAAACGATCAACGTTTGCCGGACGGTACAGCTTAAGACCAAGATGTTTTGCAACCACAGCAGTTGTTTCCCATTTCATTTGGAGTTTACCCTGGGTTCTGTTTCACAAAGCGATCTTAGTGCTACGTTGATCAATATAATTCATTTATTTTGACTTAAAATTATTTGGGGTATTTTTATATATATATTTATTATGAGTCCTGCTTTCATGATGATAAAAAAAAGAAAATGTTATTTCTTAATTACCTATTATCAGTAATTCTTCATTTCTAATATGGTAAAATAAAAATAGTTTGGATGTAACTGTGGCAGTAAAATGACAACGTAAAAATACAAGGTATAGATATATTGTAAATATTTGTATAACTACTGAAATGATTATTGTGATGATTGTGCTTATTGTTTACATATATCCTATCTATTTATGTTTCACACACAATAAAGTAGAGTGCTTGTCAAATTCACATTCTTTCTTGTCATTCACAAATATGGGAAAATTCGATTTTTCACTTAGTAACATGTTTTGGTGTTATGGTGTTAAATATTATGGTCAAAAGAACATTTTTTTATAATTAATACACATGTGCTCACCATCTTCAGGAACAAAACAAAAACAAAACAAAAAAGGATTGCATGAAATAATCATAATTTTACATATTAAATTTTTCACTGTGAAATTAGTTTTAAAGAGAAAAATTCGTTTAACAATATTACAATTCATTGATAGAGAGGAGAAGATTAACCTAGCAGTAATCAGCTGATCAGTTGCCTGAGTTGGTATTTATAGAATCTTGCCTGCTCAATCCTGCTGACAGTTCCTTGGGCCCTTGTTTTTCGTGAACAATCTGTTACAAAAAGGCAATATTTAATTTCCTCACATTTGGGTTTATTACATCAGTTTCTATCGGACAAATAAAAGAATAACGTATTTACATACAACCCCCAATGGTGACCTATTTAGTGTTGCGCATTGAGAATGATAGTCACGGCGAGACGAATGCAAATAAAGTTATGGGCCGAGTAATCCAAAGCCATTAACAGATATCAATTCACATTAATATTTCTCAAAACGTTACTCTCATCAACTTTTAATAGTTAACAAAGAACATAACATTAATGCTAACAATGCTGATGTTGAAGACACAACATCACAGACGTTGATGATACACCACCACAGACGTAGATGATACACCACTGACGTTGAAGACACAACATCAATGACGTTGATGATACACCACTGACGTTGAAAACACAACATCACGGAGGTTGATGATTACACCACCACTGACGTTGATGATACACCACTTACGTTGAAGACACAACATCACGGACGTTGATGATACACCTCTGACGTTGATGATACACCACTGACGTTGATGATACACCACTGACGTTGATGATACACCACCACTGATGTTGAAGACACAACATCACGGACGTTGATGATACTCCGCTGACGTTGATGATACACCACGGATGTTGAAGACACAACATCACTAACGTTGATGATACTCCGTCACTGACGTTGAAGACACAACATCACGGACGCTGATGATACACCACTGACGTTGATGATACACCACTGACGTTGATGATACACCACCACTGATGTTGAAGACACAACATCACGGACGTTGATGATACACCACTGACGTTGATGATACACCACGGATGTTGAAGACACAACATCACTAACGTTGATGATACGCCACGGATGTTGAAGACACAAAGTCAAAGAAGTTGATGATATTCCACTGACGTTGATGATACACCACCGATGTTGAAGACAGAACATCACTGACGCTGATGATACTCCACTGACGTTGATGATACACCATCACGGGCGTTGATGACACACCACTGACGTTGAAGACACAACATCACTGACGTTGATGATACACCACCACAGACGATGATGATACACCACGGATGTTGAAGACAAAAAGTCACGGACGTTGATGATACACCACTGACATTGAGGACACAACACCACTGACGTTGAAGACACAACATCACGGACGTTGATGATACTCTGCTGACGTCGAAGACACAATACCACTGACGTTAATGATACACTACTGTTGTTGAAGACACAAAATCACTGACGTCGATGACATAACACCACTGACGTTGATGATACACCGCTGCACACCCTCTTCTTCCTCCTCCCTCCCTCCCTCCTCTCTCCTTCCTCCTTCTCGCCTTCCCGCCTTCCTCCTTCCCGCCTTCCTCCTACTCGCCTTCCCGCCTTCCCGCCTTCCCACCTTCCTGATTCCCGCCTTCCTCCTTCTTGCCTTCCCGCCTTCCCGCCTTACTCCTTCTCGCCTTCCTGCCTTCCTCCTCCTTGCCTTCACGCCTTCCCGCCTCTCCGCCTTCTCGCCTTCCCGCCTTCCCGCCTTCCTCCTTCCCGCCTTCTCGCCTTCCCGCCTTCCCGCCTTCCCGCCTTCCCACCTTCCTCCTTCCTCCTTCCCGCCTTCCTCCTTCCCGCCTTCCCGCCTTTCCGCCTTCCCGCCTTACTCCTTCTCGCCTTCCTGCCTTCCTCCTCCTTGCCTTCACACCTTCTCGCCTTCCCGCCTTCCCGCTTTCCCGCCTTCCTCCTTCACGCCTTCACGCCTTCCCGCTTTCCTCCTTCCTCTTTCTCCCCACCTGCCTCCCGCCTTCCCGCCTCCCCGCCTTCAAGCCTCCCCGCCTTCACGCCTCCCCGCCTTCCCGCCTTCCTCCTTCTCGCCTTACCACCTTCCTCCTTCTCGCCTTCCTGCCTTCCCGCCTTTCTCCTTCTCGCCTCCCCGCCTTCCTCCTTCTCGCCTTCCCACCTTCCCGCCTTCCTCCTTTTCGCCTCCCCACCTTCCCGCCTTTCTCCTTCTCGCCTCCCCGCCTTCCCGCCTTCCACCTTCCCGCCTTTCTCCTTCTCGCCTTCCCTCCTTTTCGCCTCCCCGCCTTCCCGCCTTCCTCCTTCTCGCCTTCACACCTTCCCGCCTTTCTCCTTCACGCCTCCCCGCCTTCCCGCCTTCCTCCTTCTCGAATTCCCGCCTTTTCGCCTTCCTCCTTCTCGCCTTCCCACCTTCCCGCCTTTCTCCTTCTCGCCTCCCCGCCTTCCCACCTTCCTCCTTCTCGCCTTCCCACCTTCCCGCCTTCCTCCTCCCCGCCTTCCCATCTTCCTCCTTCTCGCCTTCCCACCTTCCCGCCTTCCTCCTCCCCGCCTTCCCATCTTCCTCCTTCTCGCCTTCCCACCTTCCCGCCTTCCTCCTCCCCGCCTTCCCACCTTCCCGCCTTCCTCCTTCTCGATTTCCCACCTTCCCGCCTTTCTCCTTCTCGCCTTCCCGCGTTTTCGCCTCCCCGCCTTCCTCCTTCCCGCCTTCTCGCCTCCCCACCTTCCTCCTTCCCGCCTTCCTCCTTCTCGCCTTCCTCCTTCTCGCCTTCCCGCCTCCCAACCTTTCCGCCCTCCCGCCTTCCTCCTTCTCGACTTCCCGCCTTCCCCCCTTCCTCCTTCTCGCCTTCCCGCCTTCCCGCCTTCCCTGCCTTTCCACCTTCCCGGCCTTTCAACCTCCAGCTCCCGGACTTCCAGGCCGCCGCTATCTTTGATTTGTAGGATGCCCCCTTAGAACTGGACGTGCCGCATTCTTGGAGGTGCACACCCCCCACCCACTCCCCCCCCCCCCCCCCCCCCCCGAACCGGAAGTGACGCCATATTGGATGCGCACGCCTCACGGAACTGGAAGTGACGCCATCTTGGATGCACAGGTCTTTTGACCAAGTAGTTGGTACCAGACTACTGCCCCAACTACTAATAGATATTAATGCTTGAAAAAAAAACCCAATAAAACGTAATTTGCAACGTCGTTGTTACGTTGTGGAACAATGTAACGTAAGAATAGCATTGTCGAATAAAGTTACAATGTAACGTAATACTAGCGTTGTCATAGAGAGACACAATTACGTTCTGAAAATTTTAGTATTAAGAGATGAAAATTCAAACAGCGAATATATAGAAAGATAATGCATTACTTTGTTGGTATTCTGACAAATTCAGGTTGATTTTGATAATGCAGGTGTTTGACGCAAACAAATAAAATAGTTACATAATATACGTCTAGTGTAGGGATAATATACCATAATATTTGGTAGGAATAACTGTTACTAACTTTCTTCACGTAGAGTAAAACAGTATTCTCAATCATACGCTTAACTGTATGATTTTTCCGTGAATGCATGTAGCATAATAAAAACCATTGTTAAAGAAAGGAGACAATTCAATTTTAGCTTCAGCAGTGGTTCAGTCTATTGTATTTGATAGTGATGGCAAATAAAGCTTATATATGATATTTGATATGACTTATAAATATATAACACATTCAGCAAAACTATTGACAGTGAAATCGTTTGGATTTGGAAGTGGGACAATCTGGCTTAATAACCTGGGCTGCACTGGTACTGAATCATCCCTGAGTCGTTGTTCACATGTTGTTATCATATGTGATGAAAGTGAGTTGGCATGAATACATTAACGTTTCTATAAAGTTAATTGTTCAATGTGAAGTCATTTAAAACTGAGATGCCTAAAATCAGCAATCTGTGTTTAAAAAGTTGCGATTGAGCTCCTCTCTATAAAAAATTCAAAGAGCGTCATGTGACTCTTGCTCAAATGCTGCTTGATCAAAGTTACAACATCCAAGGCCTCATTAAAGCATTCGAAACGGTTTATGGTGGACAGCTGGAGGGCGCCTCAATGACAATAATAATGGAATGAGCTATTTTGACTTGTACCATCTATTTCCGTATCTTTTCAAGTGAACAATTTACTTCCCTTTGCGTGTGTTTGTGGCAGTTGTCACCAGTGGGGAAGCATATGCTGTGTGTTTATAAATCACTATCAGATTGTGTTAATAAAAGGTGTTCGACCTGTTATCATCAAAATCTGATAGTGATTTATAAAAAAACCTGCTCATTTTATCGTACATCAACTGGGCTTTGAGCAGAGATTTCTTATGGCTAGGTGAAGGGTTTTGTTGCTCTTATTGAATCATACAATTCTTATCCGGTAATGCCATTCATTGTACTTAGGCAATGCTATATGAGTGTACATGGTTCAGATGCAGTGAGAAGGTAAACCGAATAATGGTGACACTGTTAAATACGATGTATTTGGCCTGCTGGATTTCTCTCACAAGGTAGTATAACTCAACTGCGGGGGCACTAAACCCAAGTCACTCACTCATTATATCCGAGTGTGATTGTGAGTTGAAGTGGGTTTTGACTCCAGATTATTGCACTTCTATGACTGGCAGGTGTGGAATTGTCTGTGTCTGCTTGTACTAGTCTGCGACTAGATTGATGCTGATTTTATAGTGCCAGCTCATTGACATACCACGCCGAAGTTTTAACATGAATACCCCACTCAGGCAAAGTATACTGACTCTGAGCCGACCAGTACTTGTTTTAGCCTCTTAATGCCGAGCACCAGGCAGGACAACAACAAGTACCATATGTTAAGGATGTTGGTTTGACACGCGAGGGTATTGAACCACCGACCTTCTGTTCTCGGGGCAAACGTTCTATCCACTGCACCATGGAGACGGTCAATGTTACCAGCATTGCTCATGTTTTCTGGTGAATCTTAGCTAAAATTAAGAAAACAGAGCAATATTGTATGACACGTGTTCATTTCAACTTCCCCCTCCCCCTCCTATAGTTTAAGAGCTTTACCCTTTACTTTCAATCCTTTCCTTTGAGGAATATAAGACGGTTACTCTAATACTAAATGTTCACAGTATGCAAAGGCACCCCCGTGCATGGTAACAAACAGGGTTAGTCATCCTGTTAATAATGACAACAATTAAAATTTGAAAAAGACAGGGTCACTTTTAATTTACTGAATAGATAGATGTACATTTGAAAACATCAACCAATCTCACACAAGATCATCCAATCACAGGTCTCTCACTCTACAAACAATCTTTCTCTTCCAAAGCAGCCTGCCGAACGACTGTTTGTTTGTTGTTTAACCCCACACTGAGCAATATTCCAGCTATATGACGGCGGTGGTCAAACGACTGAATCTTTTTTGGTGTAGTAGTAGACATCCTGTAGACTGGCGCCAGCACTCTCACAGTTGCAGAGAAGTCCTTTTTCAAACCACTTCAGGTAATGTACTTTTCACTTACTTCAATGAAAGTAATATGTGAATACATGTGAAAGTGAATAAATTGTCGACACCAGATATACAAACTTTACCCAGCCTCGTCATTTAGTTCAAGGAGAATATTCACGATGCCCTTTTGTACAATTTGGGGATAATGATGCATTGTACATTACCTGGTTGGGATGTTGACATCTCTCGATGGCGACAATTGTGCAGAGTTACAATGTGGTTATCATGTGGACAGACTAATAAGCAAGCTACCAATGAGCTTAAGAGAGGAGTTTCATCAAACACTGTACCAAGAAAGATGTGATGGAACGACACTCAATTCAATCCAACACAATGCAAGATTACATATAAAATAGCGATCACAATAGGGAACTGCTACCCGAGGATAAAAAATGTTTAATGAAAATTGCCAAGAGCTTTTGGACATTTTTCTGCGAAATATGGTTCATCTGTAGCCGATGAGGGCAGGTTGCTTTCAACAATGGCCGATATAGATGGAGGCCGTACTCGAATCCTCTAACTACGTCAGAGACTAAAGTCATCCGCGGTAATTTTAGGCACAGGAATATATCAGATTACATAACGTCTTGCACCAGAACATTGGATACATGCTCAACTTTTTGCTTCCAAATGTGCTGATTTTCACGGACAGTGATTTCAATTACACTATAGAAAAACCCTGTGGACTGATCCAATGTTGGAAACTGTCCTGTTTACCATGATTGTTTATGTATGACACTCATATGTAACATACTTTATTTTCCTGAACTATAACATCTATTACAAACTCTTTTCTCTCCAGTGACGAAAAATTTGCACCAACTCAGCGACTAGCGTACATCTGCCGTAACTGGTGTTTCAGTTCCCGAGATTTCAGCATTCTCACTTGTATAACTTGTTATTAACACAAACACCAGGTATCATCACTGTTTGATACTGATTCATAGGAATATTACTGGTGCAGACTGAGACGAATGTTTTATTACTATGTATAATGGGACTTGATACTGTGACCCTTCTATTGCACCATCTGCTAGACAATGGCAATGTTCAAATCACACGTACAAATTATAACGCACTTTGTTCATTATAAACTAACTACAGTTGTGTGGGTTAATGAAGTATAGTTATACATTACCTGTCAGTAATTATCGTAAAACTGTGCTGGCAAATATCAAAATATACTTTGCCCATGTTTGTATGATATGGGACATAGATAAATTAATCAATTCATCCGGTCCCCTCAGTTCCTTACAAATTTACCGTCGACTCTCTTATTCGGACTTTTTACACTCTCGGCTAAAGTGACGGATCAAACAACTAATTTACTTTTGACAAGACACTGTCTTAATCGGCCTGGGCCAGACGGGACTAGATTTCTTTATCTAAGAAATAAACGACGAGTGGGAGTTGTTTATTGTACAATAAAACACTGCAGGGAAAAGTTTTATGTCGCAAAACAGATGCGTTGTCAGTTTGGACGCATGGCCCTGTAACGTGTGACTGCAGGACTTGTCTCCCTTGTACAGTGCTTGTCTTGATTGCGAGCCCACTCTGTCTCACTGCTGCGATGATGTTGATTGACTAACTGTGTGACTGTGAAGCTCGCAAGCGGCTACACGCGGCTTGTCTTGCGTGCCTGAAACTGACAGAGTCGTCTCCCTTGTGCCGTTCAGCATTTAGACACTTTGTTGATGTGTTTGACAATCACTCGTGTACCAAGTGGGACGCAAAAACACCTGACACTGCAGACCAGAGAGGTCAAGCGTGTATACCGTATATATAGAGGTTATCACGCGAGTGTGTTTGGGGATGGTAAATATCCTGCATTAGGAATAAACATTGTATTTAGCGAGCCTTGGCGAGCTAAATACATAGTGTTTATTCCTAATACAGGATATTTACCATCCCCAAACACACAAGCGTGATAACCTCTTTATCATATAATGTCATTCTTTAATTCTGTGCTTCAAAATCGCTTTCCCTCTCTCACAAACATTACCGAAACATTGCGAGTTTCCTGAATGCGCGCATTAATATTTATTACGTCACAGGGTAAGTGATGTGTCAGTCGGACAGTGACAGAAACCAATATAGTTCCAACTGAAATCTATTTCTTATACAGTGGCGAAGCAACATATACGCAAAACAACAACTGTTTTTAATTGCCTTTCGCGGCAATCCATCGGTCTGTCCGCTAGAGTAACTGCCCTTTGTCAAAGGGAAGCTACTCTAACCCTAGTCAATGAGACGTCACGGCCACGGTCAGACGTTGTTGACAGTCGGTCGGTCCTGTCATAACGTTAAGAAGTGTAGTCAGATGTACACACAGCGACAAAACGAAACAAGGTAACAATTCAAACATATTTCGGCCAAATCCAATCTTTTTTAATTTGTGGAGAAGGTTTCAAGCTGCAGATATGGTTACTGATCCCGCTTGGCTAGGCCTCGTGCCCTCGCAAAATTGTTTCGAAATTTATATCGCCAAAGTTGCCAAAACTTATGAAATGCCTTAGCTACGTCACAGTTGGACACTGATTTTCAGTTTATAAGACTGTTATTTTGATAATGATAGCAATTATCCCTGTAGTTTATCCATATTCCCGATGGTTAGTTCTGACTCGATCGCCGAATGACAAGGGCGACGCCATGTTTGTTTATAAACAGTAAAAGTAGTCCCTACTTGACCTTTGATATTTGCATCTTTATCCGCATATGACCCCAACGGATATCGTTTTTATCCGTTTGCTTTATCCTGCCGAGAAACCTACCCATTATATGATAAATGACAGTATGTGGCCTGTGTAATATCATCACACTGTACAAACATATTATTTAGATAAAGCGGACTGAGATAGCATAATAACTGATGTATACCTTATACATGACAGTGTGTAACCTGTGTAATATCATCACACTGTACAAACATATTATTTAGATAAAGCGGACTAAGATAGCATAATAACTGATGTATACTGTATACATGACATTGTGTGACCTGTGTAATATCATCACACTGTACAAACACATTATTTTGCTAAAGCGGACAAAGACACCATACAACTGATGAAAACCGTATACATAACAGTGTGTGACTTGTGTAATATTATCACACTGTACAAACATGTAATTCTTCCTTTCCAAGCAGTGACAAGTTTTCAGATGTATGCCCAAATTGCAGAGAAAACAAGACTGCAAATTGGCACATAGGGTTCGTCAACAAAAACACTCCACACAATAGTGTCCAGTATTCTCTTCAATATTTTGTGTTTATGTAGGTATAAACCAATACAAAGTATGTCACGTTTTCTGAAGACTGTCACATCAAAGTGTCACATCGGTTTGATCTACCCGGTTCAAGGAACATGTGCAGATCGGTTTTATATTATGGATTTATACAAATTGTGCACACCAGTGTTACTGGCATGTGTTTTGTCAGTTCTGCGTCTTGTGAGAGAACCGCGCGCCCGGCATACCTCGGGACTTGAGAACAGAATACAACTCAAAGCTAACATGATAGCATAATGATGATTTGAAGACAATTCTAGTATTTACATAACGAAGGTGTGACAAATGTAAAGTTCACTTTAATGCAGACATGATATATTTACAAAACTGTGACCGATTTTTTTTTCATTTTACATTATTATTACAATTGAACAGTTTTTGCACTTTAACCATCGATACATCTTTTGAGCTAAAGTAGTAGTTGACATTTCGTTTTTTGTTTCAACACAATCAGTAAACGGGCTGTCACTGGATTGTGTGGCTCAGACTCGATTGAGTGTTTACAATCCGTCGCCGTCGTATGTCAGTACTGCTGTGCGGTGTCAGGCAACAAATATATTTCATTTTCCTGCAAATTGTGTGAGTGACGGGTTCTACCTGTAGAGCTGGACATGCAAACCCTTTTCGAGAACACCTGGTGTCATCACTGATTTTCAAGATCCATTCATATAATTTTCCCAAATATTTTGCCTTTTGCGTCCGCTGGAATCTGCCTCGGCGGATAATAGACATTGATTATAGTCTGGCGTTGACGTTTTAAGTTTAATAATTTAACAGTCTCAAATATTTCAACTTGAGTGAGAGAGGTCCTTACGATTATTAATAGTCACATCAAAGTTTATATCCTTGCACGTGTGTTTGTTGTGTTTGTTTAACGCCGCACGCAACAACAGTCCAGCTATATAACAGATACTCACTGGAATGTCTAGTCCAGACCTCCGTCACATCGCTGGAATATTGCTGAGTGCGGCGTTAAACAAACAAACAATCAAATTCGTGAATATCTTGTCAAACGACCGAATTGTCATACTCAGGCCGACGCGCCTGTCAGCGCTTTTTTCAATCGGTCAAAGTCTTATAACGGGGTGCTGTTGTCAGAAATACAATACAGGCTGTCTTGTCTTTTCTTTCT